CGTCCTAGGAGATATTTCCCGACGAATTAGGAAATTATGAAACACCTTGTTTATTGGGTTTATATAAGTATACGTATACGTTTTTAAAAAACTTATAACGAAAATTCTCTAATAACGCCCCTCATACCTATTTATTACAGGTCGTGTAGACCATTGTTGCCTGATTTATAGCAAAAACATTGACTTTTGCACGTTGATGATGATGATGATGATGATGATGATGCGCCTTTTATAATAGATCTCATATCTTAGAAGCGTATCAGTTCAAAGAATACTAGAAGACCTTACATATTTTGCCATGCACTGCGCCTATTCATTTGGCAATTCAGTTGTAAATGTTATCTTGAAAAAAATAAATCTTCCAAATTTGTTGAGTTTTCTTGCAGAAATCGCCTACCTCCATCCATTTTGTATGATCACAAGGCGTGATTTAAGCTGCTGATATTCTTCTTTAAACGAGTCGGATTTTCAAAATCTATAAGTTGGACTCCCTTTATAGAAGCTTTGAACTGAATTTGCACTGCTTAATGCTGAAATTTTATTGTTTATCCATACATTTTAAGAAAAAATGTATAAAAAAAGATGTTAAAGCCAAATGTTGCCCTAAAAATTCAGAAAATGTAAAAAAATTCGAATTTTCTATGTACAGGCCTTGTTGCCCCTTTAAGAAGCTTAATATGTAAATTATCTAATCAAACATTTCGTCCACCATTTTGAAACACTAATCAATCCAATCTGTGCTAGCGATTCATAGGGCGAACCAGTGGGATATTTCCAGGGTTCATACACACCTGGAAATGTCAGGGAAATTGACTTGATTTTCCAAGTGCTGGAAATGTCAGGTAATTTTAAAATTAGGTCAAAAGGGCCAAAGATGAATTTTGAAACGGTAGACATGTCAGGGAAATGTCAGGGAAATTTGTATCAGTGTTGAAAAAATAATGTTCCAGAGATTAATGTTTCCAAACTGTTTTGAAACAAACTAACGTCTTGTTTTCAACCTACACCTTGCTCCTTTCTGTCGTATTTAATAAAACAAAAACAGTATATCACGGAGGGATACGAACCACTCACCTGGGACTTGGTTATTCACTAGCGCCATAGGCGTTCTACTATTCTGGATACAACTGACGAGTCGTATTTAAGTGGAGACAAAAGTGAGGATCATTTTGAATTGACGCTCGGTATAAATATATAATACTTTTGTTCTTTCATATCGGTAGCTCGTTGGCCTCATGGTTAGCGTGCCTGGCTTCCATAGTCTAGGTTAGTTGATCGAGACCCGTTCATGTCGAACTTTTTGATTTGCTTGTCAAGATATAATAAGTAGGGCAAAATCCAGAAAAAGTAGATCAAAAATACTCCAATGGAGTATAAAATTGTCACCAGGATTCCGGAATGAGACGAATGTTAACTCGTGAAATCTCGGTAGATAAAGTAGGTCAGAAAATCCGGATTAATCCGAACAAGGTTCGGGAATTTCCGTCATAAGAAGTAGGTCAAAAATACTCCAATGGAGTATAAAATTGTCACCAGGATTCCGAAATACGACGAATCGAATCGGCAAACTTCGGTACAATAATGAAGTGCATAAAAATCGTGAAACAGGTGTCAGGGGCTTCCCTCATCTTTCCATAAATGGTTCCAAAAGCCTTATATGGATCTATCACGTGACATTCAAAATGACGTTCCTATATGGTTCTATGGGCCTTATATGGATCTTTCGAACACGTGACCAAATCAAAATCAAAATCAAAATTTTACCTTGACCATTGGATGGGATTTCATAGAAAATATCAAAGAAAACATATTCTCGTGATCCTTAAATCACTTAAATTCGATCATTTTATCTTCACCCCTTGATGGAATTTTATGAAAGAAGTTATGAAAACACATCATCATGTAAGGGTTTTCACCTAAATTAGCTCGTTTTATCTTGACCCTTCAATTGAATTTCATTGAAAAATGTTTCATGAAAAATATCATGTTATGATTTGTATTTAAATAAGACCGTTTCATTTAAATACTTGCTGGATAATATTTCATTAAAAAACGCACTTTAAAAATATTTCAGGATTTGCCTTAATTTAACAATGTAATGTAAGTATTAGATTGACTCTCAAATAGGGTTCTATTTTAACTTTTTTTATTGAAATTAATACTAGGCAGGACTCACTCTCTAAATAGCTAATAAAAATTCAACCCTTGGATGTGATTTCGTTGAAAAAAAAATATGACAAGTCCAGAATCAAATGATTTGTCCAGAACCTCTTAAGATCCTGTTGGTACGACTTTAAGTCTACTGCATTGACATCGCCTCTCTTTTCCAGTAGTGCAATCTTTTTGCCGTGCATTGGGGACCATTTACATTAAAACATAGACGTATAATGAGTTGGGTGCATTGGGTAAAAATAGATCTATATGAATAACAAACACCTATTCAATTGCAGTCATTGACATAGGCATATCATGATGATTTAAAACTACTTAGACTTTCACAGTCTAAGATGTCACCGGGTCTGTTGATCTGTCGACGAAAGCATGGAACATGTCGATGGCTGCTAGGTTCTGCTTTCCATTGTAAGAAAGGAAAACTGTAGCAGCCTCTCTATGCTCCTTCTGTAGGTCTTGAACGGTTTTTGTGATGCAGCCTGGTTCCCTTGTGTGGCAGTTGGTTACAAACCATGCTGCTCTTCTCTATACCTATTCCCTCATATTAATGTATTTTTGTCGGTATGGATTCCATGCGAACTGGCATATTCTTAATTACCCCGGACTAGTTTTTCAAGGCATTGATGGAGGACTGCCCCTGAGGAATACAAGCACTTAATTGGCTTTGGATACAATAGTTTGAATGTGTGTTGTCCAGCGTAGGTATGCGATATGTGTTACCGACTTAAGGTTTTCCCCTAGGATGATGTAATTGTGAATGATAGGGGATTTACCTTGTGAATGATCATTTTGATGGATGGAATTCAATTTGCCATGACCAGTTTACTGTCATGAATAAAAGACTATCGTGAGCAAATAGTTTAAAACTGGCTGAGAATGATAGATTATTGCCCGTATCAGTGATATAAACAATGACACCGAGTGGTCAAAGAACTGTTCCTTGAGAAACTCCTGATTTTACTGGAGTTTTTGAACTTGATTCACCATCGAACACTACCAGGATCTGAACCAGTTCATGTGGTTGTTGCATGCGTCACATACAAAGTCACTCATGTATTCATTTAAAGTTAATCCGTTGTGTATCTCCTTCTGTCTTCGATATACAGGGTATTCAAGAACTCTTGAGGATATTTTGTCTGTTGATCTGTTGACCGAAGCATGGAACACGTCGATTACTGCTAGGTTCTGCTTTCCATTGTAAAAAGGAAAACTCCAGCAGCCTCTCTACACTCCTTCAGTCACTTCCACTGTAGGTCTTGAAGGCCTTTCGACTCAGCCTGGTTCCCTTGAATGGCATTTGCTTACAAATCATGCTGCTCTTCTCTGTACCTGTTCCATCATATCAATATATTTTTGTCTGTGTGGATCCCATGCCAAACTGGCAAATTCTTAATTAGGCCGGTGTAAAAAGGTAGGTGGTCATATCAAATTTTGGTCCTACTCTCTATTGATTTACATTGTGACCAAATTACAATTATTTTCCTTATTATTTATAATAAGGTAGGGCCAGTAAAGGCCGTAAGAAAAGGGGACCATAATCCCCAGGGGACCATAATTTCTTTCACATCGGACTATTAAATATGCCAGAGCCTTCACCTTTTCAAGGCATTGATGGAGGACGGCGCCTCAGTAGTCCAAGCACTTAATTAGCGTTTGATACAATAGTTCGAATATGTGTAGTCCAGCGAAGTTATTGTTGATGTCAATACCCAAGGATGCGATGTGTGTTACCGACTGTAATTGTGAATGATATGGGATTTACCTTTGTGAATGTTTATTTTGGTGGATGAAATTCCATTTGCCATGATTATGTCCATGAGAGAAATTTATCAAGATTCTCCTGTAGCGTTAAGGCATCTTGCTCTTAGTTAAGGCATCTTAGATATACAGGATGTCTCAAAACTCTTGAGAAAATTTTGAGGGGAATATAAGGCATGGGCGATTTTCTTCAAATTTGGTGCACTTAATAAACATACATTATAGAATAACTAACACGAATTTCAGGCACATATATTTATGTTTGACATTTCAATTCTGCATCGCAACAAACCCCAGAGTAGTCAGAGAAATACACAATTTACATCACATGTTGACAATATTTACACAACTCTTTCATTATGATAGCATTGTTGCTATTTAATTATTTCAGCTTTTCGGTACATTGGTCAATAGGATCCTACACATTTAGCTAAATTATATCTACACGATAGTCATCTTAGTAGGATATTGTTCACTATAGCCATTCCCGTAGGCTCATCTAAAATAACATGATGCAATTTTTCCTTTGTTCAGATTACATGGACCACTAATCTTTGTTTAATATTTTGCAAGTATGGAGCTGTATATACGTCTTATTACGAGTAAATTAGTCTTCCTACTTGGAACTTCTGAAATGAATCCTAAGCTGGTTCTGTTTTACTTTCTTTTGAATACAGACCATATAGTGTAGAGAACAACTTTCAAACACACCGTATTAAAAGTTATCAGACATTGACCGGGGTACAATGTTTGATTAAAAAAGTACAAAATACATAAAACTATGTTACTTTGACTTACTTTTGACCTCATTCGACATTCTTTTTGAGAGTGTAATAACTTCCCTTGACAGTTTTCAATGACCCATAATATTGTACCTTAGTTTTACACTGTACCTCTTGAACTCTAAAAATGCCAGGTGTGGATCATCTGTTTTGCTTTTTAGAACACTATCATTAGAGACATGTCAATACTAAAAGTCGGGGTAATGGAAATTAGGGTTCTTGAACAGGACATGTTCCTTGGTATTCTGGGGTTTTGGTTACTTCTAAATAGTCTACATTATCTTTCAGATGAATGTGGTTACTTCAATGAGATGTTTCGAAAATCTACAAAACGTAAATCAAATGTATATGTAAGGTTTAAAATATATCTACGCCCAGGAGTTAAAATACAGCTTTTTGGCTCAAGAGTCAACTATCTTTTTGTAAGTTCGATTTCGATTAATATTATGTTGATAATTATATATTTTACTAAATATGTGTTTTGGTCAGCGCAATACTATATCATTTCAGTTTCATACATATGGCCCAACACTTGCATAGGAAATGTAGGGGATGGTTATATGTGTAAGCATATCAATTATCATCATTTTTGATATCACAACATATCACTATTACCTTTCTAGCCTATTTTGTTGTATAGTCCGTAAACAGTGTATATATATAGAGCGTTTATACATACGAAGAGACGTATACAGAGTTATAACACAAGCTTGTTATACACAAGAGCTAATTTAATTTATCAGTTGAACATATATTGTAGATATACCCTGGTGGTACCATTGGAACAAGCGCTGTCTACACGTCTTCACGATCGAGATTTTTTGGAAGACCCATTCTCTCACCTGCATGGGGATTCATCCCTTCAAAATTTGGCCAGAAATCTCTTAACTATACAGTTCTATACGAATCTGACTTGAAAACTCCTGAAAATATTGATGTGAAGATTTGTACACAAGAGATTATACGTTCAAATACAAAGTTGAAATCATTTGAACCTACACTTGTTATAGTTTTCTCCTGGCATATAACAGGACGTGGAACCAACAAAAAGGTAGGAATAAAATGTGTCATCCTTTCTGTGAAAAAAATAAGAAAGTAGGCAACGTGTTGATAGAAAATGAACTGATTATTTCTAATCCCTTAAATCATTTGAAAGCATCTTTTTGCCGGAATGTATTTCCTTATGTCTGTAAATTCCACCGGAACTAAGACATTTCTCCGAAAATGCAGGGGACTTGGATAATGATATATTAATTTTCGGAAGATAAGCTTGTACTGCTCTAACTCTGTATGTATCAAATTCTTCACAAATTTATAACATATTGGGTTTTAGACTTCAAGGTATGATGTTCTCCTGATAAACAATGGACTGGAGACATACGTCTTATTTAAATACAAAGAATTAAACTGGGATGAAACAATGGATATGTGTGACAAGTTCTCTGGCGTGTCATTTGGAAATGGTTTAACACATGAGTTGGTGAAATATTCAGGGACAGCTAAAATGGATAAACTTGTTCATCTACCGGGGAATTATGGAGGTGAGATTGATAAATTTTGTTTGTATAAGATCAACATGTACATTTTCTCATTGTTTTGAAGTATCCTCGCGTCTTTATATAATTCACGTACCTGTTTTTCAAATGTGATAAGGTCGAGAAAAGACGATTGTTGCATAATGAGTAATATTTCACTCACTCATTCATTCAAATTATTTTCAAAATCTATGTCAAACAATGTTAATACCTGATAGATGGACGTGCATTGTCTTATCGTTCATAAGTGGCAGCATATCCAGTATATACATTTTTTCCAGAGTTGGGAATGTATTTATTTCATGCATCTGGGCCATTCAATGTGCCACGAGACAAAGAGACCTTTTGTAAAACATGGTCAGCCAAGCAAAACAAAACATTCATATCAGAATTAGTGAATACTTTACCATCCTGTCCATGTTCAATTGATGAGGTTAAACTTGACGATAGGTTTCAACTGGAGAGCACTACACCCACTGTTGATTGCTACTACTTAAAGAATCCAACTGAAGATGGCACAGGACAGGTAATGAGGTTATATTAGAGCAAACTAGGGTGTTGCCCAGATTGATACCAATGCACCATAAGCAAGGTGGAAATGTTAGCTTTACAGATCTGACCTCCATTGGAAGATTTGCCTCTGGAAGGGTTAAACATTAACACTTTTGACACCAAAAACTAATAAATTATTATATTTTGAATCGCGCAGATTGCCATTAGTGGCCCAATCCAGAAGAAATCAGGTTGTACCCGATAGTGTTCAATGATTGAATTTGGTGTTATCTCAAGTTTGAGAAGGTTAGATTGGTATTTTATAGATTAAGCTGAATTTTTATTTTAATGGTTTTTTGTATAAGGTTGTGTGTCCTTAACTGACCATAACAAACCAAATCACGAAATCTATAGACGCTATAAAAATAGTTCTAATCATTGTCATCAAGTCTTGAATTCTTGGGTATTCATGAACATACTTTATTTTTTATCATGCCTATCAGTATATGATGTCCAATGAACTTGTTGCATATAATAAAGTGAGCAATCATGATCATTTTCTCTCTTAAAGCGTGCATGCGCTAATAGATTTATACATTTTCCTGGCTGCGAAACTGAATTTAAAAGAAAGACTCGTGACTCAAATAATTAAGGTCACAAATTTGTCACATCATTTAAAATGTATGGTAGATTTCGAAAGAAAAAACGCGAGATTTCAGCAAAAATACGGTAGATTTTACGGTCATTTTCACAAGAAAAAAACAAGTTTGGAAAAATTAAATCACGGGAGATTTGAGTAGAAATATGGCATGGGAGTTTTTACGGGAGAAGTGGAGTTTGTACGGGAGTTTGTTATTTTTACGGAAAACGATTTTTCATGGGAGACTCACATAAAAAACTGGAGATTGACTGCTCTGCAGTCTTTAAAAAAACACAACATTACATGTACATATGAGGAAATTTGGCCTCAATAGTTGTGTTGATATATTTTCTTAAAAGTCACAACCTAAGAATATGTGAACACTTTATTTTCAAATCATATTTTTTCATCTGAGTAAGCAAAACATGAATTCAACATTTAACGCAGACATGTGTAACATAAAAAAACTTTATTTTTAACATAAGGAAAGTGAAACATACGTGCATAGGCGTAATGAGCCCATTTTATCAGTGTAACTCCTTGAAGTTCCCGCTTTTTACAAAACGTCTTTCTACATCACGTCTTTATGGCAAAATGGATAAACATTCTCCGAAAAGAAATTATTTTCATCAACAGATAACTTGATTTGTATCTAAATAATAACAAGTATGTTAGTAGTAGCACCCGGTTCCTGAAAGGCTAGTCTGTCACACATAAATGTATCTAGCAGCTCCAATATTCGAATGAGAATTCCCTCACGTCAGCAACCAGGATCGTATCTGGTGAATTTGGTTGGGTTGTGTAAACGTCCTCTTTGCTAAATCGAGGGGTTTCTCACTCGATAGTTGGAGCCCTTGGTGGTTTATACACGTGTAACTGATATTTTCAATAACTACAGGGTGGTCCAAACAATTGGAACATTTGTTAATTAAAAGCAATTTTGTTTTCCTCTAAAATGCACCAACGTTTTACTGAGCATAGTTTAGTCACTTATTTATCTCCTGTAAAGTTTACAGGTGCAAACAACAAAGTTAACGCTTTAAAATAGATAATGTTTGATATGATCCCTCTTCTCCTGAATTACAAGTTCAAGCCTGGGACTCAGTTCTGAAACTATTCATTCAGTCTGCTGTTTGGTTGTTTTTGTCCCAGCTATCTTGATTAAAAATTTCAGCTTGGAAGATCAAATCTGGTAACATATTCAACATTTTTTATCCAAATTGATGGTTATCAATACTATTTTTATGACCATTGTCGGGTGTATTACTGATGGAATATTCTTCTCCAGAAAGAGGCCATGGTAGTCTGTTATATGACTGGTACATGAGGCCCCCTCCCCTTTATTGTTCTAACATGAATAATATTCACTGAATATATTAATATATGTATATCAATATCATAAATATATCTCCCAAAACACAAATGAAATATCATTATATGTGCTTAGAGTTGATATTTCAAAGCCTTGTAAATAACCGGTCAGTTATGCCTTTACCCGAAAGTGGAAACAATAATATTGTCACCTGTAGCTGTGTGGTTGTGCAATCGCCCACCTCTGACATGTTCCTTCTTGCCTACCCTTAAATAGAAATAATCCTTTTCGAGTATTCTTTAAGTTAAGGTTTTAACGCAATAGTTTTTAGGTAAACCATAGATGTAAATACCTCTTGTCTACTGAATATGATTTTATAAAATGTGTATAGTAGTAAAAGGTAGCGGCAAAACTAACAAGTGTATATTTAAGAAAAGAAACATTGACTAGTTTAATATGTTAACTTTTTAGTTTGCACCTATAAACATTACATCAGATAAATAAGTAACTGAACTATGCTTAGTTAATTTGTTTGGCATTTTAGAGGAAAAATAAAGGTTTTGCGTTCGATTAACACATGTTCCAAATTTTTGGACTACCCCATCGTCGCTTTCCACTGGGTCTAGAGACCGTGGTAGGAACAATCGAAACCTTGTGAATCTAGATGGGACTACCCTGTAGGTGTTACTAATAACATACGGCTAGATATATCTAAATATTTCAACACATTGATATACAAGTATTTTGAGATAACTAAATTTATTACTATTGTCATCGGATTGAAAAAAGTAAATAAATAACAAAAATATGATTGAAAAATTATATTTTATTCTTTGTTTTCCCTTTTGTTGATAAACGGGTTAATAATTCAATGTTACCATAAGCAAACCTCCGAAGTGAGGTCAGATCCTCAAAGCTAACATTTCCACCTTTTAATTGCTACATTTGAATCACTGGACAAAAATTGTAATTCTTGCTTTAAGAAGCGCATTTTTATATTCTAATTTTCTCTATTATAAATCATGACATGCTCATAGCACGATTGTGATGAAAGGCATCTAAAAAAGAAATACTTGAATTTGAAGTATATATTGGTATAGAGTACAGGTACCCTTTGCATTCGTTTGACTTTACTTCTTAAAAGAGAGCTTCGTCTTCACTCTTTCAAACTAAAATAAACCTGTGAACTCACCGCGCCAATCAGTGTTCGTCGGCCAAATTTGACCGACATTCTTTATATGGTCAGCCTGGAATTGACCAATGACATGTGCATATTTAATTAGAACGCATTTGGCGTATGTTTCTTCAAGCTTGCTGATTGGTGGAAGGTCAGCGCGTAGGTCAAAAGTAATTTACCCAAACTGTCACCGGTACCCGTTGTGGGGGCGGGGCTACTAAACTGTAATATGGTCTCTACTAGGCAGAGTGTAGTTTAACTAGACTCTGCACGCAGGGTGGAGTACATGCCTCCTAGACTTCCAACAACGCGAACATCAGTTCTGAGCTCACGAACTGCATTCCTTGCACTCGAACCACGATTATCACGTTGCGAACGTGGATTTTTAGTCGCATATCATCATTTCCTCGCTCTCGAACACATTTCCTCACTTGCAAACAGAGATATCTGCTCGCGAACAATTTGTACACGAAAATCTTGGTATTTTGGATTCCAATTGCAAGCAACAACAGGAGTCTGGTTGCAGTTTACATTGACCCTTATACACGAAAAGATGTATTCCAAAAGTCATAAACTCTCCGCAGCCAAAAAACGCCATGTTTTTTTTATTACACGGCCCTTTCATAGAAAATGTCAATGTGTGGGATCACAAAGTAGTCCCAGTGTTTTGTGTTCTCTAGAGATTGAAGATGCCTTTATCTTCAATTAGTGGATATTATGTCCATTAACATAGATCTCTGTTCGCTAGTGGAGAAAAATGTTCGGGACTGAGTAAATAGTGGTGCGCGGTAAGAGTTCACGTTCGCGATGTGAGCAACGTGTTTCTAGTGCAAGGAGCGTAGTTTGCGAGTTCAGAACTGATGTTCTCTTTGTTTGAAGTATAGGAGGCCTGGAGTATGTTTTGCGAGTGGTGATCTTCAAATATACAAATGTAATGACCGCATATTGCTGTTATTGTATTTTGCTCATGAAAGTACATTATGCTGAATTCAATTATATTGTTAAATTATATTTAAAATGTTTTGCAGGAATGCTGCTATGGGACACATGGAAATGATTTCAATAATCTAATAACAACTGGTATTAATGCTGGCCACTTTCAACGATTCCATTACAAACAGTGCCCTAAATTTCATTACGAATATGATTCAAAAGCAAAACATAACTGTAACTACTGTGGCAAAGAATGTGAGAATAGTTTTAACAAATATAGACCAACTGATAAATGTAAATAATAAATATAATGCATAGATATAACATGGGCCACTATATGTAATTAAACGAGTAAGATGGACGAATCTCTTGTCATTAATGGATTGATATCTAACAAATAAAGTAAACAGTTCTTTTTTATTTGACGTCAGTAATTTCGGTATTTCCTTAAATAGTGTCCATTTGTTTCTATTTCTTTGATTATACATTCGGAAATGTTACAGTTATTGCATATAAAATAGCGATTGGGATTATTCAGTGTGGACATGTCTTGCTAGGTAAACATGGGCGATAGATTGTATATTTTTTAATATCAGAGTTAAAAGGGTCAAATTAAATATTTTTCTCTGCTTCGTAGATATTGTGTAAATAGTGAACACTAAATAACTGAGAATATCTCTAAATTCATGCATACCTATTATCTACTACCTCAGGTAAAAGTAAAGCGTTTGTAATAGTGTGATTTGAACAGCGATATTAATAATATGTAGTACTATAAACAACCATTATGCATTTTGTAAAATTGCTTGTTCATATGCTGTACATACAACAGAGCAGAAATCAAAAGGTCTACATGCCGAGGATGCTCTATAATTATTCAGGGTGTCTACAATACCGTCTGTGTAAAGTTAAAAGGGACTCTATGGATACCCTGTATAAATCTAACCAATGCATTATTTTGAGAGTTGGTATTGGGGTTGTTTCAAACTCGCTGACTCCGAAACCCCAATATTGATACAGACTAAAACATCATATGATTTCCAAAATCATTGATATTTTTTAAAGTGTAATTACGACGTTGATTTATCGATACCATTAATACCATTATTGTGTTTGTTACCATTACGTGTAACACAAAACAAATATTTATAAATAATTGAAAAAATAAATGCTATGATGATTTACAATAGTTGTTGTTATCTGTAACAAGTGTCAGTTGTCGGAGTCTGCAGGTTTGTAACAACAGAATTATATGACTTGTATTTGCTATAAAATATTTGAAATAAAACACCGGGTGAATTTATTTTGGTAGCGGAATATGTCTCTGATAAGACATTTAAACATTGATGGTGGTTGTAACACCACTGTTATTTTGAAAATTCAGATACCCACAAGTGTATCTTGTTCTATGTCAGAACGATTGTAATTCATAAAAAATCATGCAGTACACTAAAATAGGAGAAAGTACTGTATGCAGACATTCTAGAATCTAACCCAAATGCGGGCAGGGGGTCGGATTTCCACCTGTGCTTTTCCGCAGTGAAATTATTTCTTATCGAAGTACCTATATATAGCTACATATAAAACAAAATATAATACAAAGGTTGAGGTGATTTTGAGCCATTTTTCCATCTAAATATACCATGTAATAGTAGACATATATTACATATGCATAAAGATATGTAACAAAGAAGTGGCAAAGGGTAAATTGCAATAGATTTGCAATATTTTAAAAATGGCATAAACTGTATTATATTATACTAGGATTTATTTGTACTGATGCCCCTTTTTGGCCTAACGTACATTCAACGCACAATTTTTATTAACAATAAAAATAGCAATAAAGTAAAGAAAATAGGATTACATTCTTCAAATGACATATAAAATATTTATTTCAAAATATTTTTAATAAATCAGTAAAATATTGAATAATATGAATGCAGTTTTATGGTGTAATTTGATATTTATAGAATAATATAGCAGCTATAATTAGGAGCAAAAGAAACTATGAAGATTGGTCGACGCAACAATTTCTGGTTCAAATTTGCTTTCAACACCTGGTAAGTTGCAAGTTCACTGGCTGATGCACTATAACGTTTTCTTCTCATCCAACACCTATAATTGATGTCTGGAATTCTTGAATTGTATTATAGCCTGGGATATTTTTTAGCAAAATTATCATTTACTCATTATTCTTGGTTCTAGACTGGGTTTTATTGACCCCCTTATTTTTCAATATTTAATTTCTTCAAATTTTTGAACTAATTACCAGATCTAAGAAAGGACCCACGTTTTTCTATATCGTATATTGTTCTTATTTTTCAAAAAGGTAACAAATACACCAAGAGATCGAGATCTCTCCCTGTGTTACTTTGATCTTCTTTTGATCTCATTTGAACGACTTCTTTTAGAAGTAGTCAAAATGACCCTCGAGGATTTTGAATTACATTACAATTACACTTTACCCTACTCGTTAGTATTATGGAAATTCCTGTGCCCGCATTAGGGTTAAAAAATACTTTAAAAAATATATGACCTTCATTGGTAGTTATATCTTAATTTATGAAAATATTCAAAACAGTGTATCAAAATAAAAACGAATAAAATTAGATATGTAAGCAAATTTTAAGCATCATTGTCCTGTTCACTGCATTGTGTGTTATTCTTCTCTAAGCATGACAAATCTAATGACATGAGCATAATCTATGATTATCCATATATTTGTGTTAATCTTTCTGACAAATGTTTGCTTCCCATATAGATACGGGTGGCTTTGACCTACACAGAGACGGCTGATGGAACTTCTACTTTATTACAACATATGTAGCAACTAACTTCTTCTAAGGTCTATCTAAATGACATCAAACCCATGTACGCAATATACGTTGAACAATTGAGACTAGATATAGATCATTGGATAAATATACACCCCCCTTCATAAGTTTCGCAACCTTAGCTCCCCATTGAATATGTGTTAAAGCCTCTTTACGTTTGAATTTTTATTTACTTAACCTGCGATGAAATAACTCATAATATTAATGGAAACGTAACTTGACTTTATTTCCAATACCTCAAATTTTTTTTCCTCGATTACATTAGGTCGAACTTTGATAATAAATTTGATGATTTTTTTTAAATCGTCATACCCATGTAAACCAATGGGAAATGGTGGGTTCGTGGCAAATCGGAAATCAGAATATCTATTCAGTAAAAGATTCAGCAAAAAAATTATATAAAAAATTGAATTGTCTAACTTTTTGTACACAACGTGTTTAGTTTACTTGATCAATACTTAAAGATGTTAATTTAAGAGCAAAAAAGGCTCCAAAACTTAATAAAATATGTAGTTTGGATGTCCATTTATGTCTGGGGATTATATTTTATACCACAAACACTTATACATACCTGTAATTTGCAATAAAAGTGCCCAAAAATTGTTGTTTCGAAATTCCCCATTTTCTTGTATCGCACTTGTGTCGTGACTATTACGCGTAGCAGGCAATGTAGAGTATTACAGTACATATTTCAACATGTACAATATGGCAAACATCAGCGATTCTGATTCCCGGATTCTGGGAAATGGCTATATGAATCCGCGAGAGGGTGTAACTATGAAAACAGGTTTGCTGCAAAGTTATCAAATTTAGAAAATGTGGATCTTGTTTTTGAGTGGCTTACCAAGCATTTAGATACAAGACTTTGCACAGACTTGCAGTAAATTGGCCATTGCAAATTGCAAAATCAGATCGTCAAATTAGTCGTGTCGTTTTTAAACATATGCTTCATTTCTTCTTCCAAAACTTTAGGATTTGATAGAGATAAGTTATAACTTGTACAGGAAGAAATGGCAGATCCTACCTTAAATTAGAATCGCTGATTTATCTGGACAAATTCCGAGAAGAAATTGATCAACATCGCGATCAACTCGGACTACATGTCGTGTGCATGTCACTCTGAACTCGCGTGATAAAATACGGCATATTGATTGGTTACTACTCGTGTTGTTATGACGCGAAAAGCAGTGGTAAACACTGAATATGTTAATGAACTACCATATATGGAACAACTGTCTTTCTGATTGGTTAACTTTACACGCCTGCTAAATTGATATAGTAGGCGTAGTAAATGATTCATTGATAACTATGAAAGTGGGCGTGACCAGCTTTATTTTGACACCAAATTCAAGACGTTTCAAATCAAAATGGCCTCGCAAGACGAGGTTGAAATATCTGCAATTTGATACTGATATGGTCTACGATAGATCAAAATTGCCTGCCCCGCGTCACATGTCACGTGAGCATATATTTGTTGAAAAATGAAAGAGATGCTGACACTTTATAATCTCAAGTTATACTAATATTCCAAACACATATCCTATTTTTTAATGATGTATTCATTTCTTCATTATATGTACATTTCTTTTAAACTCCATTGATTCATTTTTGCAAAACCTTTGCTACTAGATCTTTAAGCTACAGAGTCTTAAAGTCATTTTTGAAAATCATTTTCGCCTCCTGTGTCATTCCAATGGGAGATTTTTTTGAAATATAATTCTTACTTTAAAGTCTTATAACTTTGCTGATCCTGAAGAAAGGTATCAATTTTCTGTTAAATAAAGTTAGCAAATTCAATTGCCTACCTAGCGTGTATTTCTATAAAGACATTTCCATTGGTTAACATGGGCATGTCGATTTTCAAAAGTACATCAAATTTATCATCACTTTTCGACCTATCGTAATTGAAAAAAAAATTGAGAGAATTTGGAGATATTGGAAGTAAAGTCAAATTATGTTTCCATCAATAGTATAAGTATTTTCATCGCAGGATAAGTAAATAAAAATGCAAAGGTAATGAGGCTTTAACACTTAGTTCAATGGGGGTGCTAATGTTGCCAAACTTATGGAGGGAAGTGTATATAGGGCGTCTATTACAATTTCCAAAGGTATTAGAACCAATTGAAGAATCCCTTATTATCTTGATTTAGCACAAATGGCATTTCTTTAATTATTTTGACTACAAAACTTGTGATATTCCCCACACAACACGATTTATTAACATAAGACTGTCAACCTCTAAAATGTTGTTATTTTGGTCACTTTTTGAGGTCACCGTGTGCCAAGTTATTCTTGCGCTAAATCGAAATGTTCTTCTTGCAAACTATTACGAAGCCTGAACCAAAGTAGAAATACACATTAGTCCCACATCTGCATGCATTCCAATAGCCACATAAATATTTTTAATTGATTGAAGTTCACAAAAAGAAATTCTTGATGAAATAGCACTGCAATATTATCCATAACATATACAAGGAATTGATTGATATGCATTTGTGAAAACGTACACAAATAACTGAAAATGTTAACCCAATGATTTTATTTTGACCTTACAGCATTCAATTTTGGTTAAAAATGTTTGCTATTATCACAGGCCAGTATCGAAAAACGTGTTCGCTGTGATAGAGCGTGCTATTTTGCATAGGAACACTAAAAACACAATTTGTTTTTTACTCATATCTTTTATTATACCAAAGAAAATAACTTACTCCATGCAATGGATATATCATTTGCGGGTATCTTTAACTTCTGTTTGAAGTCCAACAACGCTAAGAGTAAAAGCTATTAACAACGGCGCCGGAGTATCAAACTCTAAATGTACCATTTCTTTTATTTCTTTTTAATGGTATAATATAATGACACAATAATCTTTGCATATGGTTTCATCATAACTCTGAAGGTATTAATGAGCTTTTGATGTTTTGGGTATTTTCTACACTTTTTATAAAAAAGAATGTGTAAATTTATTGTCCGCTGTGACTGAGCAGTTTTAACTGTGAACTACGTTAAGAATTTACGATTCAAATTATATATCTTGAAAGTACCCTTAGAGGAGAGAACGTCTCAAATCACCTTACTAAATTATGACAAGAAGTCTGGGAGATCTGGGGTAATGCAGATCTGAGATATAAAAACGACCACTTTTGTAGCATTTTTCGGATGTTTTGACATGAAATCAACATGGTGTAAAGTCAATATTCAATTTTTAATACATTTTCACCAAGACGCCTTGGAATGTCACGTGTAGTGTAAATACAAATAACATGA